TCCATTTTGTGTTGCTATCAAGGAATATCTGAGGCTGAGTCACTTACATAGAAAAAAGGTTTATGTGGTTCATGGTTCTGCAGGCTGTACAAGAAGCATGGCACCAGCATCTGCTTCTTGTGAGGGCCTCGAGAAGCTTACACTCATTGCAGAAGGGGAGCCTGTGTGTGGATAGATCACATGGCGACAGAGGAAGCAAGAGAGGCCGGGGAGGTGCCAGGCTTTTCTGGACAACCAGCTCTCACAGGAGCTAACAAAGTAAGCAAACTCACTTATTACCATGTGGATGGCACTAAGACATGCATAAGGGTGCACCCCCATGACCTAAACACCTCCCATTAGGCCTCACCTCCAACACTGGGGATCAAATTTCAATATGAGGTTTGTGGGGACAAACATCTGAACTACAGCAGGAACTTATATCTACAACATATAAAGGACTCTTACAGTTCAATAAAATGAAGACAAATGACCCAATTTTTAAGATGGCTAAAGAATCTGAATAGACATTTCTCCAAGGAAGATATTAAATGTCCAAGAAACACCTTAAAAAGTGCTCAAATCATTATCATTAGAGAAATGCAAATCAAAACCTCAGTGAGATACCACTTCACACCCACAAGTATGGCTAGAATCAAAAACCAGATGCTGGTGCGATGCTTCTTGTGCAGCCTGCAGAACCATGAGGCAAGTTAATTCCTTTTCTTTATAAATTACCCAGCCTTGGTTAACGAATATTGGTAAGGATGTGGAGAAATTAGAACCCCCACACACTACTGATGGGAATGTAAAATGGTGCAGCCACTTTAAAAAATAATCTGACCATTCCTCAAATAATTAAACATAGAGGGCTGGGCACAGTGGCTCAAGCCTGTAATCCCAGCACTTTGGGAGGCCGAGGCGGGTGGATCACGAGTTCAACAGATCGAGACCATCCTGGTCAACATGGTGAAACCCCGTCTCTACTAAAACTACAAAAAATTAGCTGGGCATGGTGGCGCGTGCCTGTAATTCCAGCTACTCAGGAGGCTGAGGCAGGAGAAGTGCCTGAACCCAGGAGGCGGAGGTTGGTGTGAGCCGAGATCGCGCCATTGCACTCCAGCCTGGGTGACAAGAGCGAAACTCCGTCTCAAAAAAAAAAAAAAAAAATTGGCCAAGTGCCATGGTACATGCCTGTAGTCCCACCTACTCAGGAGGCTGAGGCAAGAGGATTGCTTGAGCCCAGGAGGTCTAGGCTGCAGTGAGTTATGATTTCAATGCTGCACTCCAGCCAGAGTAACAGAGTAGATTTGCTGTCTCAAATCAAAAATAATAAATAAAAATTGTGTAAAATTTAGTATGTTCACGTGTGTAAACATACATGTGTAATCATATGTGAATATACTAAATTTTACACAATTTTATATTTACAATTGTTACATGTATGTGAATATATTAAAAGTCATTGAATTGTATACTTTAAATGGGCAAACTTTATAGTATATGAATTATATCTTAATAAGGCTGTTTTTTAAAAAGAAGAAATACTAAATTTTAAAGACAGTACAAAAAATATACAAGGCATCTCATTAGTTAATTTTTACATTGATTACATTTTCAGATGACAATATTTTGTATATATTGGGTTATATAAAATACACTGTTAAAATTAATTTCATCTGTTTCTTTTTATTTTTTAATATGGCTACTAAAAAAAATTCAAAATTACATACATGGCTCACTTTATATTTCTGTTGGACAGTGCTGCTCTAGAGATTTTACACAAATGACTTAAGCATTCTGAACCCCAACTTCCTTGTATGTTATGAGGCTGTAATAATAGTACTGGCTTCACACAGTTATGGCGAGGATTAAATGGTTTTAAACTTAGCATTTGAATGTTAGTTTTTACTCTAAGTATTAGTTCTTATTATCAGGGAAGCCCCTGGGTACCACTGAGTACAGTGGTCATGTCAAAAACCCCCAGTAGACTCCTTGGATTTATTTTACTATATAAAACAATTTTTAGAAATGAATTTTAGAAGCCATCACACCCAGGAATCACCAGCTGTCACCTTGCCAAACTGTTGTTGAACAACCCCATGGTTTCAAAACTTGAATTTTATCGTGGGACTGTAGTCTCTACTTTGCTGTAGGCCTAACCAGCCCTATTCCCTTAGCAGAGCCTCACACTTGAGTTACCTCCTTGGTATTGAAGGTATTTGTATTTATACCTGATCCTTCACTAGTCCAAGCCCCTCATCTTCCTGATGAAGAAACTGGGGCCCGTGGAAAGAACACTGAGCGGCTAAGTGCAGAATTCAGCCTGGAAAGGACCAGGCCAGCCCTCACACATGCAGGGCAATGTCCAGAGGACCCTGACTAGCAGGGTCTGCAACACAGGCTGTTTAGCTTGTGTGCTAACACGCTATCCTTGGGAGTCTTGGTGGGACTTTCAATCTTCTTTAGTTTATTGCCACTGGAGAAATAAATCATTACTGGCACTCATGATACATTTAATGCAGACCAGGGGATCATTCTGATGGGAAGGGAGAGAAGATGGCACTTGGAACTCAGAAGTTCCCAATGGCCTGGTTTAACATACCCAAAAAATCCAACTCTGTGTAAATCTGTCAGTTAGTCATCTCTGCAGCACTGATCTTCTCCCTTTTATTTCCTTCCTCATATTTGTTTATCAAATAATACTTAACAAAGCTCAATCATTTGATTCCCAGGGTAACCCCACGAAGAAATGCAACCTGGGATAATTACCCCCATTTCATTCTTGAGGCCCAAACTGGGTCTACCAGAAGACAGGAATGGTAGAGCTAAGCAAGGACCAGAAGAGAGTTTGGCAAAGTTCACTGAATGGCATATTTTGGTTTTTCCATAACCAAATATCACCTGCATTATATAGTTATTGCCTTTCTTTTTCTTTTTTCTTTTTGCTCTGTCACACCAGTGCGGCAGTATGATCATAGCTCCTGACTGCAGCCTCGAACACCCTGTCTCAAGTGATCTTCCCACTCCTCCCACCTCAGCCTCCTCAGCAGCCGAGACTACAGGTACGTACCCCATGCCTGGCTTTTTTTTTTTTGAGTCTCACTACATTGCCCAGACTGATCTCGAACTCCTGGCTTCAAGTAATCTTCCCGCCTTTTGTTTTTATTTTTCTTTAACAGCACTTACTGTTTTTGTGAAAGTCATCTGATGTTGAAAGGGAATTTTCCTTCAGTGTGTTCGGTAGAAAACCAGTATCACGTGCCATTAATAGAAGGTTTATATTTATAATACAAAACAATTCTAATTAGAAACTGTTGTCTGGAGAGCTTCTAAAAATCCTAATGCCCAAGCCAGAACTTAGAGCTATTAAATTGGAATTCCTCTAGGGAGGAAGCAATCAGGCGTAAGTAATTTTTTAAAGCTCTCCCCAGGAAATAGCATCATGCAGCCAAGGATGAGAACCTCTAGAATAGATGCTATTGCCTGCTAATGCCTCTGAGGCTGAAGAGTGCTTGCCCTCTCTTCAGAAGAGAGACCGACAAGTGATAGGGAGGTATTAAAGAGACACTAGCCTAAAACCAAGACTTTCTCCTTAGCATCAAAAGAACTGAAAAGTAACTTTGAAATGGGGAAAGTTCTCATTGGTGATTTGTTACTGTTAATGAGTCCCTCCTTTGCAGTCTAAAACCACCTCACAGGGCACTTGCCCTTTGGAAAACACTGGATCAGAAGACCCCAGGTGGTGTGCTTTCTATTCCTGTGCCCTTTCAGCTCCAGAAGCTACTTTCCCAGCCAAAGACTCCCACAAGGTCACTGGAGAACCCCTACTCAGCTCTGAGTGTTCTCCAGCAGGGACTCCAAATGCCTGCATTTACATCACACTGTCAGATCCATCTTTCTATTTCAAAATGACTCTTCTCAGTGGTTCACATTAGATAACCTTAAGGCAAAACCGGATCTCTGTCTCCTTTCATTTCCTCTCAAGAAGCCCCTCGTTTTCTCCCAGGAATGTCTGCCCTGGAGAAAACTTAAGTCAGCCCTGCCCTTTTGGATCTTAAAAGGACGTATCGCTAGGGAAGAGGGAGAAAGAGAAGACTGACTTGGTGCAGATCCCTGCATGACTCTGAGAGGGTCTTCTGCTGTGAAGTTTCTCTTTCATCCCTCATCTCTGAACACACACAAGACGATTCTAACGGAGAGATGCATTAGAATGAAAGCCGGACTTTTGGGTGGAGATTCCAGATCTCCATGACATCATTTTCTTATCTGGCTTGGGACATCACTGCAATAACTGAGTACCGGCCTGTGTGGACTCCAGTTTGAAGAGCTGCCCCAGAAGGACTATGCGGCCTCAAGAGCAAGCAGTTTGTCTCACTAGGCAGGTTGCTGAGCAAACCTCTGATCTGCTCACTTCCCACATTTACAACCCAGAATGCTGACACAGTGTCTACCACCAGACAGGCAGGTTGCTTTACTGTCTTGTCAGCAGAATCCATCTCTCTTGTTTCCCTTAGAGCCTAAGGTTCTGCTTTGAGGTCTCCTCCGTATTCACCATCTCAGAGTTACACAGTCCCTCCTCCTAGCCTTAGCTCTTGTTGTGCCCATAGTCCAGAATGTTCTTATGCCCCATCCCTGACTGTCCAAAGCCTACCCACCCTCAAAGCTGATTGTAAATGTCACATCCTCCATGAAGCCTAAGATGATTCCTCCAGTCAAATAACAGTAATGGAATTAACAAAAAATAACAGTAATAATAATAACCTACATTTATTGAGTGCTGCTGTGGTCAGGCAACGGGCTAAGATCTCACATGCATAATCTCAACCAAATCATATACTAGATGTATCTCATTATCCCTGCCCTTTTGAGATCAACTTACTTGTTCTCTCTGTGCCTCATTTTTCTCAGCTATCAATGGGGATTATAATATGTCTTCCTTGTAAGATTGTTTTAAGTATAAAATAAGCTGGTGTATATAAAACATGCAGCAGAGTACCTGATACCATTGTCCGACCTACCCTCTGCGGGAAGACAGAGCTCGTTCAGAAAAAACCGGGCCGCAGGTTAGAAGAAAGTCTTAAGTTCAGGCTTTATTGAGAGGAAAGAGGCTCCGGGCGGGCTAGTCAGGAAGAACAGGAAAATGGCCGCGCTGCTCAGAGGAGCAGGGTTCTTTTATAGTGAGCTGAAGGGCCGGGGGAGTGGGGAAGCCGAGAGAGCCGAGGTGGTGGGCAACGGTTGGTCAGTTTGAAATGCCGGGCGGGGAAGCCGCGCGGCGGGAAGCTGGGGAGAGCTGATGAGGCGGGTGGTGATTGGTCAGCCGGTTGCCGGGCGGGAGGTGGCTGCGGCCGGGCGGGAAGGCTAGAGCGGTATGTAGAGTGAGAGATCAGGGAGCCTCTTTGTGGGGGGGGGGGGGGAGAGCTTTCACGATAGGGGCAGAGTTTTCCAAACAACCATGCTTTTGGCTTAGCGAATATCATTAGTTTTTGTAACAACTTTAAGGTCTGTGTTTGTACTGATAAGGACAGGAGGTATGGAAACTCTGGGTAGAAGAGGGTAGGGTCCCTGGTGAGGAGTCCACCCTCAAGCCTGGACCTACAGCCCTAGATAAGAACTTCACATCCTTGTTTTCCCACTCGAATGTTGCCTTTTCCAAAACCACCCTGGCCTGCCATGCCCCACCTCCACCCTATACCCATAAAAACTCCAAGCTCCACTGGCAGAAGAGCAGAGCCTTGCAGCAGACATGGAGGGAAGAGAAGTACCTGAACATCAAGAGGAGAAGAGGCAGCTAGACAACAGACTATAGTCAGAGAGGAGTTTGGCCAAGTGGCCAAACTCCAGAGGAAGAGTATCTTCCCACTCTATCCCCTTTCTAGCTGCCTATTCCACTGAGAGCCACTTCCACCACTTAATAGTCTCTGCATTCACCATCCTTCAAGTTCGTGTGACCTGATGCTTCCTGGACTCCAGACAAGAAGCCAGGTACCAAGAGGGCAGGGTGTAAAAGGCTGTCATTCTGACCCTCCACTGAGTTGGTAAACACTTAGCCATCTGTGGAAAGCAAATGCTAAAAGAGCATTGTTTATAACACATGCCATCTTGGGCTCCAGAGGTCACAGACAACCCCTAGATGCTGCCACGGCTGGCACAGGGTTTGTTCCTGATGGCAGCCAAAGGCACTCACCCTGGCTCCTGCTCCTGCTCCTGCTCTCCTGTGTGCTCCCCTTCCTGCAAGGGGTTTGAGTGCAGTGGCCAAATAAACAAGCCACCCCGTCACAAGTCCCATGAGGGGGTCAAGGGAACTCCCCCACCTCAGTATTATTCTCATCTTACAGATGAGGAAACCAAGCAATAGAGACGTTGAGTAAACAGTCCAAGTTCAGTGAGAAGCAAGAATTTTACTTCCCTCTGGTCTTCACTGAACTTTGCTCATCACAAAGATGATGTAAGGATAATCTTCCAGTTGCCATGGGAACTCATTTCATCAGCATCTCAGCCGTCCTGGAAGATTTGCATACATGACATTATGCAAAAAGAGAAAGTTAAATTGACTTGAAGTCAACTGGCTCTACTAGCTACTGTCCTCTGAGACACTGTGATATTTACATTGCATCATGGTTCAGGGTATTCGAAAGACAGGTGTGCGCATTAATCCGCATACTTTCACTCACCAGGAATGTGATCCAGCTAAGGAAGCAGATGAGAGAGACCAAGGAACATGCTGGTGGAGCAGGTGTTGAATTCCTTCCCTGCATTTCTGCTCTTCCGCTCTTTAATTGGCATCTGGCCGGATGTTCCTGATTGCCGAGGCAACGCCTAAGGCTTAGCCGGCTTAACTGCAGGTCTGCACAATAATAAACTCTTCAGAATTTCAGCACTAATTTCTTCATTAAGGGCCCCAGAATTATGGTTGCATATCACCTACTCATTTCCTCTTGGTTCTACCTCACATGCTTTCATACTGTTGCTGACCATCTGTACATGTTACTCACCCCTTTCCTCCTTCCCTCTATTCAAATAAGCCAGGCTGGGTTAGCACTCCGGATGCATCCCTGTTGATGGCTGGACAAATAGTATACAGTTTCCAGAAAGGGTGACAACTTTCCTTCCTGGAATCCCTGCACAAAATGCAGGGTCACATATGGCCCTGAGGAGGGATTTGGTGGCAAAGAGATATCTGAGTTTCATAGTTTGAAAGTACTACGCTGGCTGTGGTTCCAAGCTGTCTACCAGGTCACCCTGTGGTGGCATAGTAAATTCACAGGACTGTGGTTTAAATTTTCCGAGGGAAAGAAGGGATCTTCCGGATCTGGTGAATACTGCACAAACCCAGGGTTGTTCATGGTTTCAGCATTAGATCACATCATACTCCTTTCAGTGATGGCATTATTTGGGGGAAACCATGTTTTTGGCAGTTACTGTGACAAAACGCAAGTGCCACAAGGAAATCAGTGTGGAACAGGAAATGAAAGTGTCAGTGCGCACTCTGATTCTGAAGTTTAAGGAGTTGTACACCCCCCAAAAGCCACACGTCCCATTAGTAAGTAATTGCATTGATTTGAGAATACAATAAAAATATTAGTTTTTTGTTTCAATGTATCTTTCTTCAAATGGCCATTAAAAAATTGTTAGCACATAAAGACTTTTAAGCTATTTGACCCTAACTACTTAATCAATGGATCTGTTTGGTATTTCTTTTGGCCTACGGATGCCATGAAAAAATTACTGAGGCCTAAGGGTTCTGTGACCAAGGAAGATTTGGATACTTCTTGTCTGGTCAAGTCAGCCACGTTTCACAGCTCTCAAGAACTTCATTGGTACCTGATCCTACGACAAAATATACATGGCACTTGGTTTTGGTTGTCGTGGCTGTTTCAGTTCAGAGACTTTTCCATATTTTTGGTGCTAAAGGTGGCTACTACATGGGGCCTATGCAGCCACGTGCCTCGGCCAGCACCGGCCTCAGGCTCCCTGGGCATCTCTCCCTTTCTTTTGTGCTTAAGTCACACCAACCTTTTTTCTGTTCCTCCAATCTGCCAAATCCGGTCCCATCATAGGGGCTTCTTGCTGATTCTCATCCTGGTTCACCTGCAGGTCCCATCTTAAATGCCATCCCATCAGAGATCCCTCCTCTGTAATTCTTTGTCTTACCACCCATTCATCTCCTTCATGTATTTTGCCCTCTGCACACATGACTCCATGAGGACAGAGTCCAGGTCTGTTCTGCTTACAATTTTATTTGCAGAATTTAGCTGGGTGCCTGATATGTAATTGTCACTCAATAAATAACTTCAAGGTTAATGAGTGTCAATTTAAATCGTGCATAGGAGTACAGTGGTACAATCACAGCCCACTGTAACCTCAGCCATCTGGGTTCAAGTGATCCTCCTGCCTCAGCCTCCTGAGTAGCTGGAACCACAGGCCTGTGCCACCACACCCAACTAATTTTTAAAAATGTTTTGTAGAGATGGAGTTTTGCCATGTTGCCCAGGCTGATCTCAAACTTCTGGCCTCAAATTACCCTCCCTCCTCAGCCTCCCAAAGTACGGGGATTACAGGTGTGAGCCACCATGCCCAGCATGATTTATTTTAAACTAGGGACATGAGTTACTTTTTAAAGTACCATCAAGAATAAAGATAGATAGATAGATAGATAGATAGATAGATAGATAGATAGATAGATGACAGATAGATATTTTCAAAGCCAAAAATTAGAGAGAAAATGACAGCGCAGAAGACCAGGGCTCATAGCTATTTTCAGGGCAGATTTCCAGAACAAGATACTATAAAAGCCTGACGAATATTAATACAAATTTTTGGTGAATGAAGAAACAAATGCAGCCTTAAATGTAGGTCCCAAATCAACTGTCACAATGGAAGATGCTCCAAATTGCAGACCCCGATTTTTGGTCAACTATTTCTCTCCAGGAGAATTCTACGTGCTCTAGAGTGCGTAGCAGCAGGAATGTGCTTTACTGGATGGCGCTTTAACAATTCACCCTATAAATGCAGGGGCACTGGTTACTATGCAATAATTGTTGGTTGGAGTTGATGTTGATAGGGGACCCTCAGACAACAGATGACAGGACGTCACCACAAACATCTGTCCACTCCATGTTGTTCCCACCTTGCCTTGTTCTACCTGTGTCTACTAACAGCAAGACCAGACAAACTGTTCTCACACCTTTCCAGCCTACCCATTTCTACATCTCAGCAATCCTACAACCTAGGACACACTCACTTCCTTCTGGTTGCCCACACACCCATTTCTTTCACTGGGATTACCAAAGAGTCGCATTTAGAGAGGAAAACAAAAAAGATTTCCATATGCAAATGGCAAAATCAAGGTCAAAGTGGAACACTTACTCTGCAGTCAGTCCAGTTGAGCAGGCCAAAAATGCCCACCTGGATAATGAAATTCAGTAGTGACTGCATCTACCAGCCTCTACCCTTATCATGGGTCAAGGGTGGAGGACAATATTATAAACATGTGATAAGAGTCATCTTTGAAGGAGAGGAAATTAATGAGGACATTGTAGACCCTTTGAAAGTGAAGCTGATTCTAACGAACCAGCGGGTTCTCCTTGAACCACTGCTCAGACAGAGCTGATTTATCCACATAAGGGAGTTGCAACAGAGAAAAAGTTTAATTCATGCAGAGGTGGCTGTACAGGAGACTAGAGTTTCATTGCTACTCAAATCAGTCTCCCTGAAGGCTCAGAGGTTAGCGGTTTTTCAAAGATAGTTTGGTGGGTAAGGAGCCAGCAAGTAGGGAATGCTGATTGGTTGGGTTGGAGACGAAATCACAGGGAGTGGAAACTGTCTTCTTGTGTTGAGTTGGTTTCTGGGTGGGGCCCACACGGTTGTGGGAAATGCAAAAACCTGAAAAGACATCTCCAAAGGCCATTCTCAGATTCTAAAACAGTGATGTTATCTGATGGAGTAATTGGGGAAGTTGCGAATCTTTACACCTCCTAAATAATGGCTACCCAGGCATATTTCCTAGCAGAATTCAGGCCCCTCTCATCCTCCTAGCTTGGTGGCCTTTCATTAGTCAGTTTTTTGTTTTTGTTTTTGAGAAGGAGTTTCACTCTTGTTGCCCAGGCTGGAGTGCAATGGCATGATCTTAGCTCACTGCAACCTCTGCCCCTAGGTTCAAGGGATTCTCCTGCTTCAGCCTTCAGAGTAGCTGGAATTACAGGCATGTGTCACCACACCAGGCTAATTTTGTATTTTCAGTAGAGATGGGGTTTCTCCACGTTGGTCAGGCTGGTCTTGAACTCCCAACCTCAAGTGATCCACCCACCTCAGCCTCCCAGAGTGCTGGGATTACAGGTGTGAGCCACCGCTCTCAACCTTTTTCATTAGTTTTACAAGGGCAATTTAGTTTCTGGGAAGGGCCATTATCATTTAATTAAATTTCTCCCAAAGTTAGCAGGGCCCACACACAGGAGTGAGCAAAGATAGCCAGAAGCAAATGGAGTCATTTAGTGCCATAATTTCCTCACTGTTACAATTTTTGCAAAGGGAATTTCGACTCTAGGAATCTTTGGCAAGGCATTAAAACCAAACAAAAGAAAACAAAACAAAAAACCATGTATTTGAAGGGCCCCTGGAAAAAGGAATGAGCTAACTTCAAGGAGTTTTCTGCCTCCAGTAAATACCACACCTAAAACAGATGCTTCCTCATCACCACCCAGAAAAGCACAGCATTTCAGCAATAACATGCAGGGCAGGAGCAGGTTCTCAGCGATGAGCACATGGAATTGTATTTGAAATATGAACTGTGGTCTAACCTAGGCCTGGCAGATCACAAAACACAAATTTCTGGATCCACTACATACTCTGCCTTTTGCATGTGCTTCACTTGTCTCTTCTTTCAGGAACTCTTTTATTCTGATTAGAAAAGTAATACAAGGTCATTGTAGACATTCTGGAAAATTTAAGAGACCATAAAAAAGAAAACAAAAATCATTCACCATCATACCACTCATATATACACTGTTAAATTTGGGGCTCTAGAACCTTTTGTTACCCCTAGGGAACATATCCAAGTCACGTGGCACCAAAATCACATAGCACCAAAGTACATTAGTGTTAGTGAACCTCAGTTCTTGCCTCCTCATGAAACATGAAGCTTTCCTTGACCCCTTCACAGGCCTCATGACAGGGGCGCCTTGTTTACTCAGCCAACAGCTCTCAACCCCTCATGGGAGGGGGAGCACACAGGTAAGCAGGTGCAGGAGCCAAAGCAAGCACTTTTGGGCACTGGCAGAACCAAAGCTCTGTGCGGGGCCCCCCCGCAGCAGCATCTAGGGTGGAGTATCCATGACCCCTGGAACACCAGGGGATGTGTTATAGTGCACTCTTAGCTTTGCTGTCCACAGATGGCTGAAGTGTTTAACAACTCAGTGAACCCTCCGCCTTTTTGCCAGAGCAGAGGGTCAGTGTGACAGCCTTTAGCGTCCTCACCTGTGGCACCTCAGCTCTCGTTCTGTGTCCAGGAAAAATCAGGTCACATGAACAAAGTGAAGGGTGGTGAATGTGGAGGATTTTATTGCTGCTGGAAGTGGCTCTCTGCAGGAAGGGGAGTTGGAAAGGGGAGGGACCAGGAAGGTATTCTTCCCCTGAAGTCCTGCCATCAAGTCATCCCTCTGAAGTCAAACTGCTTCTCTCCAACATTCAGCTGCTTCTCCTCTCCTCCCCTTTTCTACTCTGTGCCAGTGGGGCCTGGGGTTTTTATGGATACAGGATGGGGGTTGCAGGGCAGGCCATGGGTGGTTTGGGAAAAGGCAACATTGGAGTGGGAAAACAGGAATGCGCTACTCACTTTGGGCCATGGCACCAGGCTTGAGGGTGGGGCTTGGCTAAAGACCCCCACCCTTTTCTGCCTAGAATTTCTATGCCTCCTGTCCTATTATTCGGAAGAAAGAATTTGAACAAAGGGCTTAAGACAGAGTGAGAGACCCAGGCAAGTTTTAGAGCAGGAATGAAAGTTTATTTAGAAAGTTGTAGAGCAGGAACAAAAGGAAGTATACTTGGAAGAGGGAGGGCGATTTGAGAAATTCAAGTGTGTGGTTTAACCTTTCATTTAGGGTTGCATATGCTGGTGTGCTTCTTGGGGTTTGCCTCTCTTCTCCCCTGATTCTTCCCTTGGGGTGGGCTGCCCGCATGCACAGTGGCCTGCCAGCACTTGGGAGGGGCCACATGTGCAATATGTTTATTGAAAGTGCATGCATGTTCACTTGAGGCGCTCTTCCCTTACCAGTCAAGTGTTCTTAGAAGAAGCTCATACACCAGTTAAATTCGACCATTTTGCCTCCTAGTGTGGTGCGTGCTTGCGCCCACTCACCCTGAGATCTTATCGGGAAGCTGCTTATCACCAGCATCAGGTGTTTTTAATCTAATTTTATCTAATGCCTTTTCCTTGTACCAGCAGTGACCAATTATTATTTTAGAGAGACAGTTTCACAATCATCTGACCCTCACCTGATGGTTGCCTGACATTCCTGGTGGTGATGGGCAGGGATGGGGGGACCCTCTTCTGCCTTGTTCGT